TAGTTTATTGCAATCAAGTATTATAGACTCTATAATTTTCGTCTTATCTTCACATGCAAAGTTTCTCTTACGTTAGTTATCGTTCATATTTAATGCTAAAAAATTGTGGATTAGAATTTGAAATGCTGTAATCTGTCACTTGAAAATTCTAAAATAACATAGCCGTGATAATTGTCAAAGAAGCTAGAAATCAATATAGATTTCATCCAGTTTGCAATTTTTTCTTTTTATTAAAGAATTTCCTTTATTTGCTTGTACGAGTTTTAGTGAAACAAGCTTGTAGTTCAAACTGGCTAGCTACAATTGCGTAAGAAAACTCTAAAAAGTATATCGGCAATCTAAAAGTCAACAACTGCTCAAAACCCTCAAATGATTAGAATTGCCATTGTAACAACCATCCATTTGTTCGCTAATACAATTTAACAATGTCTATTGATATATTCAGTAGTTTGGAGTTTTTAACAATCTTGGAAACATTTAGAATTTTTCAATGTTTTTTTAACTATGTGCGTGACCGACCAGTCTAGCTGATGAGCGTAAAACGTGACTCATCGATAATTTTGCCAGTTTATTTAAGTTCCTTTAAATATGAAATTAATTATTGTCTTGAAAGTCTTTAAAATATTTAATATTTTGAATTCTGGGATTTCTGAGAAAACAAGCAATGGAAGTTTCAGCAATCCATTTTCATGAAAGAACGACACTGTTATACGTATTATATTATTATATTATATTATATTATAGTAATAATAATGAGTTGTTAACTGAATAAACAGGTAGGTGTATCACAGAAGCGCAGGTTAGGTTGATAATATCGGTGGATTGGCAATGAACCGGTCCTAACCACTGGAGTTGTTTCTATAAATTTATCACAGTTTGCAAATATTTCAACAAAAAAAAAGTTGTAAATGTGATGCTTCAAACCATTTAACTGAGTACACATTCCAAACTTCTCTATCTACTTATGTACTTTTCTAAACTTATTTTTCACAACTTTTTTTTTGTTAAAATTCTGTCATTAATGATAGTAGCAACTATAGCTAAATAAATTGGCCTAAAGCTTTCGAATATCTTCCAAAAACTTTATGTTCGCAAGTTTTAAAGATCTCCTCAACAAATAAAATGTTGGGTATGCTTATTAAAATCAATTTTTCTTCGCATTTTAGGCAAAACTTCTTTGATCAAGAATAATTCCAGACTTTTCTGAAGTTTTTCAACCATGCAAACAACTTGTACTCATCTATTTATGTCTGTAAACTTATTTTTGTGAAAAATAAGTTTAGAAAAGTATATAAGCAGATAGGTTTTTCTGAACATTTACCGAATATCGTTGTTCTGATAGATATAATGATGGATGTAATTTGAATGCTAGTATACCAGTATTTAAAGCTTTTGTAATTGGTGATTATCAGAAAATCGATCTCATTTCCTCTTTTCCTTTCATTTCGTTTATTTACATCTTATTAAACGACATTTGGACATTGAGAAACGTTTAGAACTGATGCTTATTTGCGAGTCAATCAGCAACAATCACCATCATATCCTCCCTGTATGTTATCACATTTCATTCGATCTTTTCTGAGCTATTGTTAGTTCTTGACAACATGAGGAGCCACTGTGGTCATCTAGAGGCCATCTGGACCTTCCTTCCATAATTTATTATTCTTCTTGCAAATACTTCATCAACGTAGCCTTGTTAATTCTTTTCCCATTTTTCATCTTTTGTATTTATATATTGCTAATTGGATCAAATATAGACAATATTATAATATATTATCTAATATTTGATCCAGTTAGCAATATATAAATACAAAAGATAAAAAATGGGAAAAGAATTAACAAGGCTAGATTGATGAAATACTGATGAAAAATTGGATCATATTTTAAAGAAACGAGCCTAATATTATAATATATTAGACTCATTTTTTAAAAATATGATCCAATTAAGGTTTTAAAGTTTTTGCAAATAGAACGAATGATTTTTCAAAAAAATTACAATTTTTGAAAGTCATAAATTTGAAAAAATATTAATTTTGTAAAAATAAAACATATGCAACCTTGACATTTCAATTCTATTACTCATAAGCTATAATAAAATTCTTCGCCGGTATGCAATACCAAAAATTAAAATTAAAAAAAATCAAATCATAATAAAATTAAAAGGATTTGAATGCAATTTGAAAAAAGTAAGGTATTTTACAAAAACAAAATGCTATGCGAAATAGCTCCAATTTCTTTCCAGAAGCGCTTCAAAAAAATTCAAAAGATCCGTAGTACAATGCACTACGTCTTCCTCCCAAATAATTGCTTATCAGCTCTGTGAGTGCTGTAAAAAAAATTTTCCAATAATTTATCATCAGCATTATTTTACACTCATCACATTTGGTAAACTACTTCAATATATTTCTTACAACTTT